TTAAACCTTGAAACCCCTAACGCCTAAACGCTGACTCCTAAACCCTAAACCAAGGAGCCCTCTCAGCTCGGCCTGACCCGTCGAGGCACCGCGCGGTCCCGGCGGCAGAGGGTGGTGGAGACTTCGAGGATCGAGCTCCACCTAAGAGTGGTTATCTTCGGGACTTTGGTTTACGGCTTAGGGTTTTGGGGTGTAGGGTTTAGCGTTTAAGGGTTATCGGCCTAGGGCCGAAACCCTAAAACCCTAAAACCTAACCCTACACACTCTCAATTCACTTAAACCTCTCAATTGACTTGAACCCTCGCGGGGGCTTTCACTCTCAATTAACTTCCCTCGCGGGGGCCTTTCACTCTCAATTCACTTAAACCCTCGCGAGGGCAACCCGACCTCTGCGGAGCGGCCGCGTCCCGACGAGGCACGAGCCGAGCAGCTCTGACGACGTTTTAAACATCCCTGCCAAGGCCTAGAGCCGGAAAGGCTCCATGCCTTCAGCCTGAAACCCTAGACCCTAAACCTTCCACCCTCAGCCCTAAATAAACCTCTAAACCCCTAAACCCGTACACCCCTAAACCCCAAACCCTACTTAATGTTTGCAGCTTCCAGGTCTTGCAAGGGTTCTGTAGTGGTGTTAGGGAGCATTAACCACGAAGCACCTCCACTGTTGTGGCGAGGCTGTCGCGCAGGATGCCGGAGTACAAAAAGCGGAGAAATGCCTCCGGATTCGAGAATGTCGGTTGTTGGGCTATGAACCCTAAATAAAAACCCTACACCCTATCTGGGGAACCCCAGAAAATTGGCACATGGAGTTAGGATGAGTAGTCTGGGCATTGCCTGTGCTTTACCCCTGTGGGTCCATGTACCCAAGTAGTATGTACTTTCGCTTTAACAGTAGTCTCTACGTAGGTACTTCGGTGCCAAAGTAATTACTGTTTGGGTACATGGACCCTTTGCAACTTTCTGGAACCCTAAACCCTAAACCCATAAACCCCAAACCCGAAACCCATGGTGGCCACAGCACACTCAGACACGACTTGCGGTTTAGGCTCAGGGGAAAAACGACGATACTTTGACTCGCGCTAGGCCGCTGGGTGACCAACTCGGACGTGGGCGTCAGGGTTGGAAAGGACTTCTGGGTGGAGGACGTGCTACTTCTTGAGACACCAAGTCTCTGCTCTAAACCTCAATGACAAGCATAAATCCTCAATTTCGTAGACATTGAATGATGAGTTTCATGGAGGCTCCATATGCCGCCATGCTCAGGACACTAAAGCCGAGAATGACGATGGGCAGAGGGATGCCTATAACCCTAAGGCTCAAGGACTCATATTTTACGGCGTTTGGACCCAACGAGTTTCACTGTGGTTCCTTGGGCCTCCTCCGTGTAAGGTTTAGGGTTGGGGCTCTCGGGTTCTAGTTTTTAGGGTTTTAGGGCTCTCTGAGGGCTCTTTAGGGATTTGGAGTTTAGGGTTCAGGGCTTTCAGGCCGAAGGGTCGACCACAATGCGACGAACATACCTGAATTGTACGTTGTTGGCCAAAGGAGGTCCCTAAGCTTTAAAGCCCTGAGCTGGGCTTGCCCTAAACCCTAAACCCTAAATCCTACACCCTAAATTCTAGACCCTGAACCCCTAAACCCTAGACCCCTAAACCCTAGACGCCTAAACCCTAAGCTCCTAAACCCTAAACCGGTTTAGGGTTTAGGGTTTAAGCTGCTTGACTCCTCTGGATATTGCGGACGGAGCTGTCGGCCGTGATCGAGGCACGGCAGTTTGCATAATTGGAGGTATGAGGCAGCATCGCCACATCTCTCCATCAACTAAAGATCCAAATTAAAACTCTAAATCTACCGCGTCTTGGTGCTGATTCTTGTGAACAAGCTGGGACGGGACGTAAGCCACAAAATTGAATTGCGGGGCATATCTTTGCAAATGGGCCCCGGTATGAAGGACCTCAAGGCATGGGGGAGCGGCAATCCCTTAAATTCCTTGCCTCTGGGTCACGTGGTCTCAGACGCGGACACACCTACATGCGCTTGCTTCCACCTAGCCATCGGAGCTCGTTGCTCGTTCGGTTTCCTTGGATGTGCAGAGACGTTCGAAGGAGCTCTGTGGCATAGGATTCAAGGTTGTCTGCGAACCCGAAGAGCCTACCAAATCATGTGTGGAGAGCCAAGTGTCTCAAACCGCCAAAGTCAGAAGCCATAGGAGCAACCAGTGGAGTGTCCGAGAACGCCAGAGGCTCAGGCGTCGAGTCGCAGGTCTCCCCGCCGCAGCCACCTGAGATTGACTTTACCGGAGATAAGCTTGGCTGGGATTAATTACTTTGAGGCTGGCAATTCGTCCGGCGTAGGCGTTTTTCCCATCCTGTCCTATGCAGTCCTCAGCACTATAAAGCGAAATGGACTCATGGAGCCCGTGCCAAGCTGGGTCTTGCGAATATGCAGGGACCAGAAACGAGTACACAGTCTTGCAGGATCAGGTCTCAATGCCAACTGCCCGAATCTTACAATCGACCTTCGCATAACCTACCTATCTGAAGCATGCTTCTCCACATCTGGAGCACCATTGAAAGAGCTAACAACAGCTAGAGAAAACCTAGAGAATTCCTGTAACTGTAGTGAAAGGCCAATGAGCTAAAGAAATGCTTTTGCTGATAACCCAGCAGGCTAAAAGTTGGGTTTTGACTGCACCATGTTACGGACATCTGTGCTGTGCAGGAAACGTTCGGGCCCAGGCCCTCTCCGTTGCAGATTCTGAACTACCCGGAGAGCTCTCTGTTATAGCTTTTGGAATATCCGGGACCCTCTCCTTTACAAATTTGGGAATAAACGGAAACATTTCCGTTGCAGCATCCTCTCTGGCTGAAGCCGAAAACTCGGAAATCATTCAGCTTTCTAAATTTTTTCAACTGTATTTTGCTTCTGTTGGCCTTTCGTGGGAACTCTTTAGCCCTGTGGAATTCTTTTTCCCTGGCCAGCCGAAAACCGGTAAACGTTTATTAATTTTAGCTTTTTGTTTTAAGCTTTGTTTCACTTTCTCGCTGTGTTTTGGACATCCTTAAATTTTCATGGGATTTCCTTGGCTTTTGTTGGCTTTTGGTGGAGACCACAATTTTCCAAGGGGAATCCACAAAACTCCTTGAGGAATCCTGAACACATCCTATGCTGACGGCGGAGTGGGCTGGGGTTGGGGTGCGGCCTGCAACCTCCTGTAAAAGGGTCACAGTACCGCTCTACTAAAGAAAGGGGTGTGCAAGGCCTCTAAACTTTGAACCAATCCATACGCCCTGAACCCGAACCCTAAACCCTTGACCCTTTACCAAACCCTTAAACCTGAACCCGAATCCTGTTGAAACCGGGCTTGATGACTGCCAGCGAGGCCCAAACCTCAAGATCTGTCAGAGTCCCGAACCCTGACCTCAAGCCCGAAACTCTCAACCTTCCATCATAAACCGGGAACTTCCCGCACCTCACACAACATCACTGTGGGAATTATTTCGCTTCTTCTTGCTTTTCTTAGCTTTCCTTAGCTGTTAGTGGCTTCAATGCTTTTCCGGGAGGTAATTGTCCTGGAATGCTGAAGAAGTAGGGCCTGCTGAAGCGGTAAGGGCTGTGAATGTATGACCGAAACCCGTGCAGCTAGCAACACAAGCAGCAACTGCTAACAGCTAGGTTTTGTCTGCGCAGTTGACAAGCCACAAGGGGAAACCAGCACGGGAGATGTCATGTCGAGGAGAACGCTGAAGTCGTTCTCGCAAGTCTGGTGCGTTTCGGCATCCATCAATGTCCTGTAATTGGAAACAGCACGGATATTGTGCGACTGAAAGATGGTCAAGTGTTCGGCCTGGCCTTACCCGTCAGTCCAAAAGCAAAGTCCGCTTTCTTCCGATAAGTGAACCTCACATTACACCATCGATCCTTATGCTGCCAGTGGATTTAAGTGGCCCTCCACTTCTCAACTCCCAAACCTTACACGCACATCTGATGCTTACTTAAATGATATGCTTTTTGACTTATGTAACCTCTAAACTCTAAACTGCCCTAAACCATTTCTCTGCATACGTTCTCCTGAGGATTTTTCTATGTTACCCCTCTCGCAGCTGCACTTCTTCCAATACTAGCTCGAAGCCAATGTTAGAAGCCACACAAGAGAAACGCAAACAAGTTGTAAGTTGGCTGTGCACATTCCGTGAGCTTCAAGCATATCCTGTCGGTCGTCTCAGGAACTTGCAGGATTGCGAAGCTGCAGGAACGACCGGTGATGCGTTCATTGCAAGGCGAAGTAGATTCTCCTGTTTCGAGCTCAGGGATTGGGGCTTGCTAAAGGATTTCAAGGGTCTCCGTTCGGGTGTCTATGTAAGGGTTTAAGTTTAAGGACTAGTGCAGGGGTTGGATAACAGGCCTTTCCGGAACGGTGTAGAGATCGAAAGGGCTGGCTCACAAGGGATGTGGCAGATTTTCGAAATTGGCAGGTCTATGGGCCTAGTACTTAAGCAGGAATGAAAACTTGAGGCTTCTGAGGCGAACCTTCGAAACAACTCTCATAAGTTCAACAGCAACAGGGTGTTCTTCGCTTCTACTCACAATCGAGTCCTGTCAGCCTCATTTAGCCCAGGATGCTGCAGGGGCATTGATTGTGTAGGCAGACATCCCCTACACTCCAACCCCTACACCTTAAAACCCTAAACCTCAAACCTCCGGGATTGCATGTACTGCCCAATTCCTGACTCCGCCACTCCAAGTAAAACCAACTTTCAGTCGTGGCATATGCGGGCATAAGCCCCTCTACTGTACCTAGATGCCCCACCGATCCGTATCTGAGGAACTGGGAAGGGTGCTGCCGACTCTCCCATGGGTTGTATGGGCTTTGAGCAGCACTTCCTTCAGCCCTGCATGAAACACACCTCAAGCCAGCACCCTAGAACCTTGGCCCTATGATGGAACTTCATGCGGGGTTCTCAAGCTGCAGGGCCTTAGGTCCATGCACGCCGCGCATGTGGGCAAGGGGATTTGATCTCATACGAAACAGTATTGCTAAGCGGTTTTTTGTCTTGGATGCCGCTTGGGCGGGTCGCAGCGAGGAAGGATCATTACGACGTTTGGCCGGCATTCCGATCCACGTCACGCAAGTGTAAGGGGACCATTGTGCCGTGCACGTGTTGTAACCAAACCCCGCGCTCTCCGCATGAGGCCCAGTGATCTCCTTCATCGAGGAGGCCGGGAGGGTGGAATGCTGGCTGAGCAAGATGGCGGCGGCTCCGGCCACCTGGAAGCTTCAACGTCTCAGCAAATTCATGTCCGGAGGCGCCTTTGGGAGGAAACTGCTGCTTCTCAAGGCCCTGGGGCACTTGGCGAGTGTTTTGCTTCATGGCTTTGGGCTCCGTAAACGGGACAACAACAGGGGACTTATGGGGATCATGTCAGTTCTATGTCTACAAGTTCGTTAAAGGATCTGCAGTGAGAGCAGATCATCACCAGGGGTAGAGCCCGCAAGCTGTAGGGCGTACCTCTGTAGCCCAAACTGTCGAAGGAATTCTACATAGGACCCCTCTGAGAGACTAGAATCACAACCCGTCAGTGGCTGTAGGGAATCTGATCTTGTGAAATTCTGTGCAAGCTTTGTCCGAAGTCTGTAGTGCTTCACAGCGGTTTCGTGGGGGCCAGAGCGCATGCTCGGTGATTGATTTAGCATCAAACTGCCAAACAGCATGGATAAGTAGCAGCAGCGGACATTTGGAGTTAGAAAGTAAAGAGACGTCCCAGCTCTTATCAGAAAAACTTGGGCTCTTTCAACGGACTGGTGGTATGAGGTCTCTAGCTATTCTCTAGCTACTCTGACCAAACTCAGCAACATCTCGAGTAGGACCCCAAAATAGAACCAGCAACTTTGAGAAATCTGACTGGGTTCGAAAGGTGATCCTCTGTGTAAAGCCCTCTCCCGACAAGTCACCCGAAACAAACGCTGATAGCAAGTGCTGTTGCAAGTTGCGAGTACTGGGACGGCATACTGCCATTGTTGCTGAACCCTACCTCAAACACTTCACAAACGGCCTCAGCAGTTCTTTATTCTTCATCTGGGAGGGATGAACATTACTCTGAGCTTCCTTTCTGGAGGGTCTCGTCATCAGGACTACACTATCTCGGGGGCTTACAATACAAGCAAGCCCTATCCTACGCCCTGTAGAAGGCCAGGCAGCGTGGGGACAAGCCATGGAAGTACCAGACAATCGAACCTTGACTGCGGCAGAGAGGGGCAGCGTTTAGGGTTCTCGGGTTGAGGGCTCCGGCCTTGGGGTCAAGAGTAAAACGAACTGCGCCTGCTGGTGGAGGCAATGGGGGAATACGAAAAGAGTTAAATGTGCCAATAGGCTCCGCTGCTTGAGGGATAGGCGAAGCGAATTAGACAAGTATTGCGTTGACAGCAAGCTGCAGATGCAGAGAAAAATGCGGGAGAGAAGCCCTGCATAGTGTTGCGTTGTTTATGCATAGATTGGGGGCACATGAGACGTGTTCCTCTGTGTAAAGGATGTATGGAGTATTTCTGAGAAATTTTGTTTGTTTAATGGCTATCCTACGGGGGTATAGCACACGAGATGCGGACCCCAAATCATTATATTAATGTCTGCCTGAAAATCTAGTGTGTCCTTCACAATGATCCCTCAACTGTAAACCCTAAACCAGACTTTTGCCAAGGAACATACTCGTTGCTGTTGAAGGCATCAGCTGAAATAATGGCTTCCCCCGGTGCGAAAATGTCCACAGCCGGGCCCCAATTGGAATACCTAAGGAATGTTCGAAATAACACCGCCACAAGCAAACTACAGGTCTTAGGGTTCAGTTGAAGGAGCTTGAATCCGACGGATAGCTAGGGCTAGGCTTTGGAAGAGGAAGCACTCAGGCTTGTACATTCATTGGCAACCGTCTTATCTCCATATTTCTGCATGAAATGGAACCTCAATCTTAGTTTTGTACGGGTCAATGTTGAAACCAGTTTTTACAACCCTGTCCTGGCCACGTAGTCCCCGCCCTGAACCTTGGAAACTCCCATGGAGCCCACGGTGATGGCAGAGGGGGCCGAAGCTGGCGAGACATAAAGCGCGTTCATGGCCTCTCGTTTGTGCAAGCAGGGGCTGAGGCTTGGGCCCTCAGGTCCTTTGACATAAGATCGTTGAGACTACTGCCCACAGTTATGAAACCTCATGAAATTCTGTGTGGAAACTGGGGTTGGGTGCTTGAGGGTTTCGTGTCAAGGTGCAAGGCTTGATGCGCGGGATTGCGCGGGTCAAGCCTTGAGGCTTTGGGCCTGCTTGCGAACCCTACAAATCGAATCTTGTGGAGTCTTAGTGATACTGTCTGGGGTTGCCCAATAAACATCATTCCTTCTGGGCTCTTTGAGCTTGGATCGTGGCCTCAAATTGTAGGGCCTCCACATTCGGGTTTCAGGAACGTAAACTTCAGGTTCTGATTGCTTCAGGACTCGAAAGCAGATCTTTCGGGCTCTTGGGCTTCTGCGGTTCAGGACCGCGGAGTTCATGCTTCTTCAGTCCTGCCGAGGATTTCGGTAGATCGAAACATTCAAATCTTGTGATGGCCTGAAATTGAATGTCTGTGGGTCTGAAGGCTAGTCTTGATTCTTGGGGTGCGTGCCGGGAGAACTCAAGCCTCAGTGCTTATGATTATGTTTCTTTGGAGTCGCGGGGGGCCTGGCATGGAAAGGAAAGGTTCTAGAAAAACTGTTTCATTCGGATTGTCTCACACTCTGCGATCCATGTCCTATGCAACTCCAGCTTTCGAACACCCGATGCTAGATCCTAAGCACTGAACTCCAAACCCACACCTTTCTGCCTCGTTGCCAGCTGCCACCACAACAACTATGTTGGCTGCTACCATTCGCTCCACTTCGCTGTTGACCTTGAGCTTGGCTGCGTCTGATGCCGGCACCAAAAGGAGGCTAGGACAGCAATTTCGTTCCGAAGGAAACGAACAAGGAGCCAGTGAGCAACTAAGACGTATTAAACTATTTCCGAAGCCGTTACTGGCCGGAAGTCGCTGGAGGGCACGAGTTTCTTGTTTCTTGCCGAAGCCATGTCCGGAAACACACGTCCGAAACTGACAATGTCACTGTGTCCAAACCCGCTTTAAAGCCAGAGGTCAAGTGAAAGTAAACTGAGATACAAGGCCACGGGGCCCAGGTTGGACTAAAACGCCGATTGACGTCATGGACAGGGTTTTGCCAAAAGACACCGCCAGATTTTGTGTATGCTTGTACCCATTACCCTTCTCCGGGCGATTGAAGCGCTCACTACCGATCATGTTATGCATATCGGGAATATGCGTTTCGGATGCGTTCAGGGGCATCTGGGAGATTGCGTTTTCGGTCCGTTTGGGATACGTTTAGGTTCATTTGGGATGTGTTTAGGACAGGATGCAGCTCAGCGAAAAATCGTTGTGGAGCAGCCGCGGTACCGTGGAAGACGTTGGGCCGCCCAGGGACATGCTTGCCACGCAGCGTCGCGTGGTGCCGTCCCCGTAGGAAGTGAAGCCTGTGCCAGAGTTTGACTGCGGGACTCGTGCTAGAAGGGGGGAAAGATCGTATCAGGAGCCACCTGGGGAGTTTGGCAAACTTGCCGGCATCTGTTTCGAAGGCTCTGACGATCTCTAGAAGCGGTGTGGCATGGTACTACAGCAGGCTTTGAATCAGGCGAAGCGAGAAGAACCACCGCCAGGAATTTCGGCTGTTTAGCGCGGGATACGTGCATCGAGTGCAGGAGCTGAAATTCTTCTCCAG